TTTTTTTTCTTTCCAGTTTTGGGCGAAAAGTGGAAGAGAAGAAGGGAATCTTGATTAAAGTTTAATAAGCTAAATTACTATTATGCCCTCTTAGCCATTCTTATTGTGCACAGTATTTTATGCCTATTTTATTTTTGATGATGTCAGTTACTTGAAGATAAATAAAATCCTCTTTTTTAATGTTATGATTATAGAATTTAAATATTATTTTTAGTTTTGTATCTTCATTTTTTTATCCAGGAAAATGCATCAATGTGTAATTTTTTTTATATTCTTATTTTAATTAATGCCATTTTGTCATTTTTTAATTAATAGTTACAAATCATTCAAAACAAAATTAATTCTTCCAAAATTAATTCGTAACAAAAATAAGGGGATTAAAAGCTTTTTCAAATTAATTTGGATTGATTTGTAATTAAAAATTCACTTAATATATTTAAGGGTAGAATTGTAAATTTGGCATATATATTTTTATATTCCTTTTATTTTTTATCCAATATCAACGAGATGAAAAATATATCACTTCTATTTTTCATCTCTCATACCAAACAAAAATGAGGAAAAATAAATTTCTTTCTTTCATGGGTGAAAAACTTATTCCCTTCACTTTTTTTTTTATTCCTCTTTTCTATCATTCCTATCAAATGGACCATTGTATTGTTTTTAAATGGGTAAACTTAAAAAAAAAAATGGGTGAAATTTAGGCGATTATTGAAAAGGTCAAAAAAGACAAGAAAAAAAAGAAAAAGGCGTGAAAATCAAACAAATTGGTGATTTAAGCGACGTGTCCGTACTATCGGCGGGGGTGTGCAATGCGTCGCTTGATAAAGACAAAAGCTAGACGGAGTCCCGTGAGCACTGCATTTGCCCCTCCGAATCTCCACAAAAAAAAAAAAAAAAAAAAGAGGGTTAATAGTGTTTCAATTATCACCCCTAGATTTACCATTATCCCACTTTTTCCCCTTAAAAATAAAAATCTAAACTCATTTCTTCAATTTTACAAAAAATGTCGTAGTTCACCCAAATGACGAACCCTCTCTTGTATCATTTTCTGTAGAAAATATTTAATATCTGGATAATATCATGTTATCAATAACTCATAGTATGACCAACTGATAATAATATATTATATATATTCAATAAATTAATTATTTTAGTAACCACCAATAATCACAGATTGAATAATTAGCATAATGTAATAGTAGAATTCACTTATTTTAAATTGTTATTATTATTCGATAGTAATATCAAGTGTCAATGGTGACACGATGTCAAACTCCCTCAATTAGAAGTAAATATTTAGTGTAATTTACACCACGTTAATATTGTCGTATGGTGTAATTGTCCAATAATAAATAAACAAATGAACATAGTGATTGGTACTTTTTTTTTAACATGAAATGATTACTATCTTACATAAAAGGATAATTATTTAAATAAATAGATTCCACTTTATCTATTTGGTGAGTTATTATTGAACTGTTATATTACGTAGTAATACTGACGTAGTATAACCGTTATAGTAAATATTTTCTCCTCGGCTACTAGACCTCCACCACACGCACTAGGACCTAAGACCACCATAAAATCACAAATCCCTCACCCTCGTAGCAACAACACCAATATAATTGAAAATCTGTATCAACCCAACATACATATATATACACACACACATAAATACACACACACATATATATCCATATTGTCATAAGTCCTATTTTACCTCCTTTTATTTATCCATTGATCATATCCTATCATCTTTTATGTATCTTTCCACTATATTTTTGTGTTTTGATCTCTACTAAACATATTGATGATTTTAAAAAATTTATTTGCTTATCTTAGACTATTTATCATTAGCATCATTTTAGATTTCTTTCATTTTTGTCTTAAACTTTAGCAATCAAAGCTTATGGTTTTTATTTGGAATTTGAAGAAAAAAATATAATAACAAGTTATAATGTTATAGAAAAAATGAATAAAAATACAAAAGACAAGAATGGTATGAGCTCATTTATAAGAAAAATATTGGTTGGAGTTTAATTTGAGTGACAAGTTATAATGTTATAGAAATAGGAGAATCGAAAAAAATATGGACTCCTACGAGAATATATGATTTTTAAAAAAAGATTTGAAGAGGAAATTAGGATCGTCCATTAGAATATTTTGTATAAATTTAAATTTTATACTTAAATTTGAATAATGGCTAGAGATAACCTAAGATGTAGAGAGTATTTTTTTTATTATTCGGGTAAATATATTATTTTACTATTTTGCCCCTCTCAAAATATGTCGTCTACTATTTGGGACAAAGTGCAACACTTGCAAAGATTAAAAAGACCATATGGAATTCTTTTATTTTTTGAGGAGAAAAGTGCAAATAGTTATGAGTTTTGGGGTTGAAAGCAGTATTATCAGAATCGGACCGGACCAGCCGGTCGGACCGGTTCAACCGTGAACCGGAACCCTAACGGATTTGGTTCCTTAGTTGAACTGCTTAAAGAAGCAAACCGACTAAAAACTAAAAGCCGAATTTTAACAAAAACCGTGAACCGATGGTTAAATAAAAATCGAACGGTTTAATGCCTATTTAAAAATTAAATTACATAAATAATTTTTTTTGCCTTAAATCAGTAAATAATTGATTTTTTTTTAACTTTATTATTGGATAAATTATAAATGACACCATTTTTTTTTCTTTATAATTTACTTGAACCTTTTTATTTTGCTTTAAAATACAATAATCCCCACTTTATTACTTAATTTCATTAATTTTATGACAAATTATATGTATTTTATATATATTTTATATTTTTTAGCTAAATTATTAAGTTTTTTAATTATTATATATATTTTTTATTTTTTTATTATATAATTGATCAAATTAATTGCTTCAACGATCGAACTAGTGAATCATTAATCCGATCCCCGTACCGGTTCAACGATTTCTGATAACATTGGTTCAAATACATTATTAACCCAAAAAGTAATAACTCGGTGATTGTGCGCATGATGGAGAGAAAGAGAGAGAGAGAGATTCCTACCCGAGCATGAAAGAAACAGAGGTGGATACTTGTCTATATATATGTAGATACTAGATACGCACAGCAATGCGGTTCGAGAGAGAGAAAAAAAGGAGATGGTCGACACCCCAAATTCTCTATTTGGTGGGAGAAAGGACGATTATAGAGAGGGAATTGAAGAAATAACTCATGGGAATGCCGTTGTAGAGAGAGACGGAGAGAGGGAGGAAACTGCTGAAAACTCTGATTTTCTGATCACAGAGAACAATGAAGAAAGGACAACAACAGGTGATGAGGTTGCAGAGGGAAGGAGTGAAAGGGATTGCTCCAAAAGTCTGGTTATGGAGAGGAGAGAGGCGGATGGCCCTCCTGTGGATGATTGCTGTCCCATCTGCTTTGGGAGCTTCACTATTCCTTGCAAAACAAACTGTGGACATTGGTTTTGTGGTATTTGAATTTTTTTTCTTTGATTGCAATCTTGGTCCCTTTATTTGGGGTTTTTTCATTCCTAATTATCTGTTTGGTTGCTGAAAAAATTTGGGAAATGAGCTTTGTATGGATAAAAGTAACTGCTTAATGTTATTTAATCATTCGGGTCTTAAGCAAGCAAGAACACGGAACACTTTCATAACCTAACTACTTACTTTAGTTTATTGGGCAAAGTGAAGACATAAGACCCAGATTTGCTCAGCTTGGTTGCTGAGCAAATATGGGAAATGGGCTTTATATGTGTAAAAATAAATGCTTAATGTTATTTAATCCAAAGGATCTTAAGCAAGCAAGTACACAGGACACTTTGATAACCACCTACTCCCTCCCATCCCAGGAATAATTGAAGAGAATAACTACTTGCTTAAGTTTATTGGGCAAAATGAAGACACAAGACCCAGATTTGCTTTTATTATAGTTCATTTTGTTTGCTTGGTTGCTGAGCAAATATGGAAAAAGAAGACTTTGCTTTTAAAAAAAAATCAAATTGTTTGATTTTCTCTGCAGACAAGCAGGTCAGTGAAATTGAGACCTTGCTGCTGCATGGTTCTTGTTTAAGGGCCTTTTTGGTTGCTGAGAAAATGTCAAAAGAAGAATACATAATTATAATAAATCCCTTTTTTGTGAGGACTTCGGATTAGCAACTTACTTTGCTTCATGCCAAATGCAACTATCCCATTTGGTTGAGTCTAGGTTAAGTTCACTGATTTATTAAGCACCAACAAAGTCAAACTCCTAGTTTTCACTTTTCAATTGTTTTCTTCTGTTTCCCCAGGAAGTGAAGACATGGGATGCAGTCAAATTCTTGATGTCTTTATATTAACACTTAACCGATGTTGTATAATATGGAAACATGTACTATCTGCAAGAAATCGGCTCTTCCTTTTCACTTAATCCTTCAAAACTTGTAATGTTTTTTTTTGTTCTCAATATTGCATTTGTTTGGTGCCCTTGAGTGGGTGGTCTTAGGCAGTTACGCTCTGTTAATGGCTAATCCAAGCCTTGCGTGTTGTTGGTTCTTCGGATTTCTCAGAACACAGCGGAAAAGAAACTAGCTCTAATGCTGGACTTTATATTCTTTTAGCTGATGAGAATGATACAAAGAATTAATTTTAGATTTGTTTGAACAACTGTTCTGGAATTAGCACATTCGGGGGATTCATATTACTCCCCAGACCATGGAAGTTCCTTTTGTGTGTTTTTATGTGTTTTGAAGTCATTTGCCATAACTTTGGTGTTTTTTTATCCTTCTTTTGCAGCCAATTGCATTTTGCAATTTTGGAACCATAGGGCAGCACTGCAACGATGCAAGTGTCCCATTTGCTCTTGCCTCATTAGTAAATTGACGCCAGAGGCATCATCACTCTTTCAGCAGCAGGAACAGGAAGTTATTGAGGTCCTAAAAAACATTCAAAAGTACAATCGCCTTTTTGTTGGTGGTGTTCATGGCCTCATTTTGGTAGGTTTACATATATTGCAAAGTACAATTCCATAGAATTATTATTTTGCTTGTTCATTTGTTAGCACTGCATACAAGTAGGTCATTTAGGCCTTTGGTCATCGGCGTTACATCTCAATCATTTTTTATTTGTTCTATATTTTGAAGAAACAAAGGGAAGACCATTTCTTTCTTTGGTCATTGACTCACTGTTGGTTGCGAATTACTGAAAGAGAAAATTAAATTTGGCTGACAAGCTGGTTTAAAATATGCGCGATTGAGCTTTTCTGATAGATGAAAATAGGTTTTGGAGCCTACAGTAGTAAAACTCAAGAATGCTCAGTTAGAGGCAATGGATCCATAGGTGCTGCATGTTTGATATGGAGACTTACTTTATATTTGGAACTGCAGTGATCTTGTTATCGGAATAGCTTTAGATGCATATGTTAGGATTAGGTATACCAAGGAAAGAGTAGCCTTAAGAATGTCACATTACAAGAATTCATAGATTTGTTTTTTATGTAAGTGCATCATTTTTTATGGTGACTGTGAATTTGAGAATAAGGTGAAGGAATTATATGTAAGTTAATCCTTACAAACACTAACAATCATCGGGTAATATTAATTGGCCTGAGCAGAGTGAGAAAGAATTGTATTATGCTTTTGTGACCTTTTAATAATTTTAAGTCAGCTCACTTGACATCAATTTTCACTTTTGACATATCATATGCTTTGAAGTATGAAGATTATAGTAGTGTCAGAAAATTTGATCTAATAGTTGTTAATATAGATAGAAGAATACCAAATGAACAACCATCCACAAATGTTAATCCATTTGAGCAAGAGAGTGTGATAATCCTTTCCTTTGACACTAGTCTCCTAGGAAGCATGAACACTTCATTTTGACCAGAGTGTTGATGCCGAATACGTCTGAGACACGGATACGCTTGAGCACATGTCAGGCACGCTAAAACTACTGTCCAATTTTTTAATTGTAAAGTTTTTTTCTGGATGCGTTGGGGACATACAGTCGACACGTTCAGGACAAATGACCGACACGTTGGGAACACGTTTTGAGTTTTTTTCCCTCAATTTTTAGATAACTTTATAATTTTTCTTTTTACAAGAAGATAACTTTATAGTTAAGTGAGTTATTTTTGTAATTTTAAAGGAGATATGAGTCAAAGTCATAATATAAAAAGAGTTATAATCATTACATAGAACATTGAACATAAGACATGCATGTAACATAATTTCAGATATGAATATGAACTAGTATACAAATGGAATAAAGACCTAAAGTTATTTGTCAAACAAGACCGAGAATTGAAAGATGTCTATCAAAGAGAGAGGGATTGACTAGACTGCTGTCAACTAGCTTTCAAGGTTGCAAAACCTTTAAGTGCCCTTGAACGGAAGGAAAAGACAAAGAGAACTCTATCCTATTTGCTTCCCATACTTGCTTTGTTATCAATTGCAACATTTATGTTTCAAGAACTTCACAAGAGCAATAAGTGTGTTGTATTCAATCTTTGAATGACTCTTTTTCCCTCCTCTCACAGAAAGTGGTTGGTTTGCCACTGTTCATCAGGAGAATGTTCCGAGGGCTGATGGATCCTGATAGATTTAGATTCAATTATTGCACCATGCGTGTTTTTGCTGTAAGTTTATGAAATACTTGAACTTACTTTTTTATTTTTATCATTAAAATGCTCCAAGCCATGAATTCCTCGACTGCAAAATCTACATATCTTCCTGTGGCACTTTAATGAATAAATATCGATGTCCATTGCAAAAATCTTGATAATTTCTTCTATTATTGCAACTTTGCTCAAAATTTTCGGTTCACATCTTGAGAATTAGATAGAACAAATAGCATGTTAGACTTCGAATCACTAGTATTTTTCTGTGAGTGCTTTTGTGTGCATGTATGCTTGTGTTTTCAGGTTTTTTTCTTTGCCATATAATTCTTCTTGATGGTTGAACTGAATAGTGTGTAGTGCTAAGAAACAAAGCTGATCTTCTGCATGCACGCCCCTTGTATTTATGAGAAATTCTGCAATGTAGTGAACTGTAAGTACCGAGGGATGTCATCAAGGACTTTGATGTGTCCTTTACTTATATTGCGTGGGTGGTAAGTGGCTGTGATGATCTTAGTTTTTATGTGTAAGGTAGGGTTTGTTTTTTCTCCAGTTCTTTTATTTTTCAGTATAGTCATGTGGGCTTGCAATGCTATTGTTGCAAAAACAATTGGGAACCATTGGAGCAGTACTTTGAGTGCACCCAGATAGATGGGGAGTTCGTTTTGAGACAAGTTATTCTTATCAAAATCCTATAATATACAAGGAAGCCGTTGTCTATTTTTTCCCCTTTTTTGGGGGGTATGAAATGAAAGAATGTTTTTCAGTTGAGAGAAGTATTATACAACAAGAGTTGTAATGTACATTTGCTTCTTTCTATGAAATGAAAGTTTTGTTTCCTATTGAGAAAAAATATATGTGGCTACCTAGAGCTGCCTTTTGAATTCCTGCATCCCTGACTACAGACAAAGTTTGTCTTATATCTATTTCAATATTGCATCTCTAATTCTTTGAAATCTCCTTTAAAATTCTATGTTTTCATGTTTTCAATCCTTGAATGGCACACAAGCTGGGAAATAAGTATTAGGTAACTTGTCATTCTCTAAGCACTACTTGACATGCAATCTGTTGCTATATACTCTTCAAAGGATTATGGATACGTATACATATTTTCATAGATTGGTATGGAGTTTCGATCATTCATAGTTGTGGTGGGTGATGACTTATTTGAAGCCATTGCACCTTTGCAATATGAGGTTTAGCCAATTGTAGGGCTGCAAATGAAGAGAGCTGCTCATGAGTGGCTTGCGCTCAGGTCCTTAAGAAGTCTGTTTACTTACTCAAACTAGGAAGCTCAAGTTCAATGTTCAAATTCAATTCACTTTGATTAGTTAAGAAGCCAAGCTAAAAATTACTGTATTTCTGCTCGACTAGGCTTTTGTACAGTTGATATAGTTTTCATTGATCATGCCTTTGTAACAGTAGCACCCCTCAAACTTTGTTTAGAATAAAAGAAGCAGCCTTCAGCAAATGTTTTTCACATACAATATAGAGCCAGAACATGCAGGAAAAAGTTTTTCCTGTACATTTGAAATTGATTAGAATTACACGCCAGGAAGGCTATTAGGCTTGTGTCACAATTTCCGGAACTTGTAATTGGAGCACTTGAGTCCAAAACCACATGAGGATTATGTTGGGTGGGTTGGGGGCAATAAAATGAATTTTTCCCTTATAAATATGCATGTAACTACTTGCAGAACCCATGAAGCAAATTGAAAATATGGCAATAACCAAATGCAGAATTTGTATGGAAACTATAAATAGAAACAATATCTATTATATTATACGGTGTAAAGCCATGAGTACATTGACTTGCATAGAACTTGACTCATTAGATTTCAGTGACTCCACATGGCATAGTTAACGAGTGCTACTTGTGCATTATGAATTTTGGTAAACACTAGCTTCATGACTTCTGCTCAAGTTCAATTTTGGTTACTTTTTTTTTGGGTGCAGTTGGTGCTGAGTTGCCTCTACAATATCAGCCCCTTTGATTTCATTCCAACAGGTTTTTCGCATCTCCAACACTAATTTGCTGCAAAATTGTTGTCAGAGTTACCTAGTTTGTGTACATCTACATTCCAAATAAAAGACTAGGATGCAACATTAAGTGGGCTGCACTGTTGCAGAATACCACCATAGACATGTAAGAAAAAAAAACTAGAACACTAAGGTCACAATAAATCGAATGGTAAGTTTGATAGCAATTTCTAAAAATGATGGTCCAATATTCCATGACCTTGATTCTTAAAAATGACTAAGCTCCTAACTGGACCTATCTTCTGGTGGGTGCCTGTGCAATTATTGTGCTTCACTCCCAAATTCAGTCCATTTCGGTAGCCCCATCTCATCAGTCTTTTGTTTTCATCTAAAGTATGAACTAACATCTGTTTCTCTACAGGACGGTTGGGGATTGAAAGATTGTTTGATTTTTGTGCTGTCACACTGGTTTTCATCTTATTTTTGGTTGGCATTGGACATAGATGGGTGCTTAGTCGCCGTGCGAGGCTGTTGGCTGTTGTACAAACATGACATTAACTCCACGATTGTATCATAGATTAAGAATTTTTCTTCTGTACAGAATCAATGATGTGCCTCTTGACCTCTGTCATCTAATGGACGGAAGGTATTTTACATCTCCTGCTCCTCCTGGACAGTTTGTAGAATTTACTCAAAATCAACCCTTACAATGTTGTTAAGCACACCTGATCAAATCAGAAATAGTTTCCACACAAATTCCCTGACTCTCATATTAATGGTATTTCATGTACGATTGTTGCTTACTGTGTATATGTTTCAACATAAATGTTCATTATGTAGCATTAGTGGTCGAATTCCGATGTATTGGAGGAACAAAGTTCCATTGGTTTGGAATTGACCGCCCCTGAGAATATAGTGCTTTAGTTTTTGCTGGATTGATATGGAAAGGCGCTGTGTGTGTGTGTGTGTGTGTATCTTTTGTGGGATTTTGATAATTAGTGTGCTCGACTTAGTATAGTTTGAGGAAGGATCAAAATGTCGTTTCGTTACGTTACGTTACGCTTACCTTTCTATGGAAAATGAAATGACTAAGTGACTCACTTTTGAAAATTTTTATGTTTCGACATGTTTTAAAATGTTTTCAGCTGATTTATTATGTTTTTTTGTCAATGTTTTAGAAATAATGTCTTCAAATTTTCATCTGGTTTTTAAAATGATTTTGAAACATTTTCCAAACTTTATATATGAATATTTTGTTCAACGGTCAGGGGTATCTTGGTCAAGTATGCGTACTTTCACTAATCTCTTTTCCGGTCTAGTCAAAGCTAGAGATTATAGCTAAACAATATTATGCAATAAAATGAAATTTTGATCCTTTTGAGTTTGGGTTGGTTGTTAAAGGTGAACTTTCTTCTCTCTCCGCTTCTGCAATGAATGGTAAGTGGCTGCAAATCTCTCCAAGGCTGCAAAATTTGCATGATGGTTGAAAATTAAACAAGAGAGAATAAAAGTTGGCATGTATGAAGTTCTTATGCTTCCTAGTTGTATCAGCTGTACAGTTGTGTTCTTGACCAGGACTTGGCTCTAATGCTTGAGGTGCTCAATTCGATTTGGTTCATCTATTATGTTGGGTTCTTATGCTTTGTTTGGTATACTAGAAAAATAGAAGGATAAAAAGTTAGAGAGATAAATAAAACATCATATTTGGTAAGGAAGGTAAATAAGAAGGATGAAAAAAAAAAGATGGATTCATTTTTTTTTCAATTTACCAAAATTAATCCCTCCAAAATCGGAAGGAAAGTTAATGAAAAGTTAATTATTTATGTTGAGATGTATTTTATTTGTCTATATATCATTTGATATGATGGGATTTTTCTGAAACGCTCCATGATGAAGACACGTGTCCTCGGTATTACCAAAACACTGTTGCTAAGATCATGCACCATCGGCGCACAAAGGTCCTCGCCCCTGAGGTACCCATCATATAGGATCATGCATTCAATATGTTTTACAACCGACACGTGGCCTCGGTCTGATATGGTACCTCGGTCGGCATACCTCCCTCGGTTCCGAGATGAGCCTTTCCTCGGTGCCGAGAGGTACCCCGTCCTGGACGCTTCCTCTACTCCAGGATAAGCTATTGACGTACAGGTCATTAGGCTAGGCTAGTCTAGGCTATTCATCATGACCTCGTCTTACACAATTAGTGTCAGAACGTACTGGAATGCAGGAGTTACAGCCAATAGGGATGGACGCGTGGCTTATGATATCATATCGAAGACAGAGAAACCGCATGCCGTTGCTGACACGCGACTTGAGAAAGCAAACTATTAATTACACCATTCCCTTAATGAGACCGCATTCAATGCGGTAAGACTCGGAAATGAAAGGCAATAAATGCTCCTAATACAGAGCATTTATTACATCCTCCCCGAGAGGAGTACATTGTACCGTCGGTATCCCGATGACCCAGCATTGATTGCTCGGGACCCCGAGCAGTTAAGAAGAGAAGACATTTCTCATCAGATTCAGTGCGCACACTGCCTGTACCTAATGATCATCTACTAACTACACTGACAGCAATCATGAGATTTTGAGGTATAAATACTCCTTGCAAAAGGCAAGACTGGTATGCAACAAAAAACTCTTTACTACATTACACACTCAGTGTTTTCTCCTTCCTCTCTCTCTCTCAAAGACTGACTAGATCGTCGGAGGGGATACGCCGGAAAACACTCCGGCGCCCTTCTAACTTGTTCTTCTTTGTTCCAGGAACCTCTTTCAGCCTTACTAGATCGTTCTTCCGTTCCCAGGGTCTCCCATTGCCGTTCCAGGTTACCACCGGACCTCGCAGGCTGTTCCAAGCAGCGTGTTTGGTCACTCAACCGGCTCACTCGAGTTCACCAAGGGAGAGATCTGTTCTCGTTTTTTATATTGTGCAGGATCTTGCACGCACAATCTGGCGCCGTTTGTGGGAAACGACTAGTTTTCCTAGTTTTTTCTCTATAAAGAACAGTGACCATGGTGAACACTCGACAGAAAGGGAAAGGACCCCACCAAAGGAGTCTCGAGTTACAGGCTCCCTGTCATCACGGAGGAAGGGATCACACCAATACGAATAAAAGTGCCTCTACTCGGTCAAGAGGGGTAACCCCTCAAACCAGTATGGGAATCAGGTCAGGGGGATCAGCCCCCTTGGCTCGTCAGCTGGCGGAGGTGATTGAAGAAAAATTTGGCGATAGATTACGTCAGCTGGAAAAGGACAATGTAAACGTCCTAAGCCGGCTCAACGAGTTTGCCGCCTCTGGCGAAGGATCGAGGGATTCATTCCTGTCTCGTGGGCTTCCCGCCCGGGAGGCAGAAATGAAGGATCTAAGAAACCACCTAAACAACAAAGCAGAAAGCTCTAGGGCCCCAAAGCGACCCAGAGCCGGCGAGCATCATCATGACAACCATTCAAGGAAAGCAAGGCCATTGGCCCTGGACGACCTCCGGCGAGGTTTGTCCAGACGGAGGAAGGGAGATGAATCCGAGGAGGACTCAACCCAATCCACATGACGCCCAGGAAATGAGGGCTTACCGATGAACTCAAGGACTTCAGAAGGCATCCCGTCAGGGAAGAAATTGATCTCAAAGCCCGGTTAGACTCCAGGAGAAAGGGTAAGGCTGTCTAGGATGAGGCCGAGGACGAAGTCATACAATCACCCTTTACGAGGGAGATCAGTGAGATGGAGGTTTCAAGAAAGTTTGTCGTGCCGCGGTTCAAAACTTATGACGGGCGGTCCGATCCCGAAGCCCATGTCAGGCAATACAAGCAGATGATGTCCCTCTATCATTCGGACCAACGGTTTTTCTGCCGAGTGTTTCCTATGAGCTTGGGAGACTCTGCGATGAAGTGGTTCGAGGCGCTTCCCCCCAACAATATTGGGTCCTGGAAGGAATTGACTAAGCAGTTCCTGACTCGATTCATTACGGGGAGTAAGCGCCCCAAAGACATTGGATCATTGCTGACCCTCAGACGGAGGGAATCCGAGACTCTTCGCCAGTACGCCATCCGATACTGGGAAGAGGTTAATGAGATAGAAGGCTGCTCGGAGGTCATGGCAGCAGCATCTTTTCGGCTCGGCTTGGCAAGGGACACGGACCTGTACCGATCCCTGACCAAGAAGACTCCCTCGGACATAGGGGAACTAATGGCCCGGATAAACAAGTACTCGAGGGTTGAGGACGAGATGGGAAGCAGCAAAGGCCGAGCCCTCCAATCTAAAAGAAAAGAGAAGGAGCGGGAAGATATTCCCCGAAAGGGATTGCTACCCCCTCCAGGGGGTTCGTCCAGAGGAGTTCACACTGTTTTCAAGGAACCCATCTTCAAGTTGCTCCATAAAATCAAGCACGAGCCGTTCTTCAAATGGCCGCCCAGGATGCAGATCGACCCCTCCACCCGTGATCAAAAGGTTAGGTGTTCCTATCACCGGGATTTCGGGCATCGCACCGAAAGCTGCAGGGTGTTCAAATCGTTCTTGGAAAGCTTGGTCCGAGACGGATATTTGAAAGAGTACATAGAGCCCAGGCCAGAAGAGAGACGAGCCTTTGCCCCAATCGAGGAACCGGACAACATCATAGATGTCATCCATATATGTCCCCTGGATCGCCCCACGTCCAAGGAACTCGAGTCCGACCTCAAGAGGGTAGCTTTTACGAGGAAGGTAGCCGAGGGTGATGTAGGGCCACCAAGTAAAAGGGCAGGATGAGTGAGCTTGGCATTACATTCTCCGACGTGGATTTGACAGGCGTAGTGACTCCCCATAACGACGCCCTTGTCTTGACCCTAAGGATAGGAAAATTCGATGTCAAAAGAATTTTGATAGACTCTAGAAGCTCCTCGGAGGTGATGTACTTCGAAACTTTGAAACGGATGGGTCTTGGCCCCAAAGACCTCACCAAAGTCAGGACGCCTCTCATCGGGTTCAACGACTCATTCGACCTGCCCGTGGGGAAAATCACATTGCCAGTTGTCACAGGTCCCTTTATCATCGACACCGAGTTTGTTGTGATCGATACGGACTCTCCCTACAACGTGATTATGGGGCGAACATGGCTGCATGCATTGGAAGCGGTGCACTCTACTTTCCACCAGAAATTAAAATTCGCCACGCCAGAAGGTATCATGGAGATCCGGGGGGACCAAGCGTCCGCGAAAAACTGTTTTTATTCAGCCGTTCGAGCCGGGGCGTCCAGCCGGGAGAAGGGGCGAGCACCGGAAGAGATTATGGAAAAAATAGCAATTACAGTTTGGGCGTCCAGGAATGGATGACCCCCGGATAGACCCAACTGAGCGGTCAGTAGAAGACCTCCGGAAGGTGCCCTTGGTAGAGGGAGAAGAAGAAAGGTATTCTTAGTTGGGACCTCGATGCAAACAGCCGAACAGGAGGAGATGATCGAGTTCCTAAGGGGAAATACAGACGTGTTCGCCTGGAACGAAATGGAAATGACGGGGTAGACCCTGATATAATCACACACAGGCTGCATGTTGACCCGTCGCACAAGCCAGTCAAACAGAGGCCACGACGCATGGCCCCATATCACACCAGAGCAGTCAACGAGGAAATCGACAAACTCCTGAAGGCCGATGCCATTCGAGAGATACAGTTCCCAGAATGGCTGTCTAATACGGTGTGCGCAAAGAAGAAAGGGGGAAAATTGCGTGTCTGCGTAGACTTTACAGATCTGAACAAGGCATGTCCCAAGGACGACTACCCCCTGCCAAAGGTGGACCAGCTGGTAGATGCCACT